ATTTTCCATCATTAACCGGAAGGATTGTACTTTCAAATAAAAAAAGAAATTTGAAAAAATATTTAGTAGTTTTTTTTAATAGCATTTAAAAAAAAAAGTTATTTGGCGGACCCTTTATAAATGAGGATTTGCATAACATCTCATTATGGTCAGAAGCAAATACACTTGTGCTTAACCCCTGCAAATCCAAATTCATGCTGTTAGGGTCAAAGGGGCAGGTCGACTCTATAATGAAAACGAAATTTTTTATAAGCATTCGTGGAAAACCGGTGGAACGTGTAAGTGAGACTCGTAATCTAGGATTGCTGATGGACCAGGGTCTTCGCTTTGAGAATCATGTACTTGAAATAACACGCAACTGTTTTTATAGACTCAAAGTACTGTACCAAGTGCGTGATTATCTCAGTGAGAGTGTTCGCCTGCGCCTATGTGAGTCACTCGTACTTTCTAGGCTTGGGTACGCAGATACTGTGTATGGTCCTAGATTATTTGCTAAAACAAATAGGTCAATACAAAGGGTCCAAAACGCATGTGCAAGGTACATCTTTCATATACCTCGATATCATCATGTACATCCGATCTTAATAAATCGGACATATTAAGGATGTCATTGAGGCGAGATTTACATTTAGCTACGCTTCTTTTCGGATGCATTAAATCAGAAAGACCGGAATACCTCTTTCAAAAATTAAAATGGAGAAGAGCAGAAGATGGTCGAAGCATCAGAACGGTTACCCCGATACTGGCAACCCTATACCATCGAACGGCCGCGTTTCGTGGCAGTTTTAGATACATGGCCACTAAATGTTGGAACAATATACCACCACCTATACGGGAAACTAAATCTGTAAACGGTTTTAAAGCTAAATTAAAAATACACCTTTTAGAATCTCAAAAATCATTATTTCACGTGTAGTGGCAGGTTATTTCATAGATACGATTTAGCAAACATATCATAGGGATAGTTTAATGTGTATATAATATGTAATAAAATATATTATACATATGTTCTGTGTGTGAGTGTGTATAGATATATTTACTTATGTGTATTTTTTAATAATTTTAATATAATATACAATACTTTATGTATACACATTGAAATTTTTACTTTGAGTGAATGGTAGATTCATTATTTTTCGTTTATGTTATTACCGATATAGTCGTGGGCGCAATACGGAATCAATATTTATTAGGGCTCCGCTGAAAATCAGCGCTGCTGCAGTATCTGTGGTAGCATATGCTGAGACGGAATCTTTTTGGCATCACATCACTCACTCTTGCTAAGATTTATTTTATTTTTATTTATGTTTTTCAACTACCTTGTATGTATGTCTCATTATTTCTAAATGTATATTTTGTGTGTGTATTGATGCTAATAAAACATATGTCTATGTCTATGTCTAATAAGAAGTACCTAATTTCAGCCACGTAATTTAAATCAGGGCTGCCATAAACTGGAATAAATACCATTAATTAGATCATAACTTATTTTATAGCTAAGGGAGTTATGATCAATTCGTCTGTTTTAAAATTGATTTTAGATTTTAAAGTTTAGCAAAAGATGTACTAGCTTTTCTCTCTGACATTCGGCGTATAGAACACCTTATGTACTCAATTATTTTTTGAAAAAGAAGAAAAAAAAAAAACAAGCGATAAATAGAAACAAAAACGGGCCAAAAACTCATAACTGAATTTTTGGCCCGACCCGGGATTCGAACACGAGACCTCATGATCAGCAGTCGCACTACTACAATCACTAGACCAACGAGGCGGTACTATACCTAATAAGATATTATGGTTGGGTATTAGGATTATTTTTAACTGTATACTATACTGATAATATTGAATTAGCCTTTTATAGTGTAAATTATAATATTTGTCGAAATGTTAATTATGGATTCGAACCTTACATGCTAATGGTGCTTCATTTTTTTATTTGCATTTACTTCAAAGAAAATACACGCAAAAAGCTTCATCGCGCAGTAAAAAACACAACAAATATATGTATAACTAATACGAAAAATTGTACTCAAAACAAACAAATAATACTACCTATAAATAACCTAATAAGTAATAATATTATAATATTATCGACTGATAAGATGACGTGAACGTGTGCGCTGGCAGACGCTCTAACGACACGGGTTCCACGTGTAAGAGCTCAGGGCTCACTGACTCCAGCAAGCCCGTGAGCAGTGAATACGCCCAGATTTTAAAATAATTTCTTAATAAAATCAAAGTTTAGTCTTTTGAAAAAAATTTTACTATAGAAATATTCATTAATAAATTGCCTATCCATTGGTGTAAATCGCAAAATAAAATAATACTTACTTTACGAGGAGATGCATGTTATCAATAATAATTTCACATTTATGTGGTTTCGTTGTAAGGAGATTATATTAATATTTATTCCTTTAAAAAAAATTGGATATAGCTTTTATGGAATCAAGATTATGTAGAAATATAATGCGTTTTTTATTTGTTGATATATATTTTAAATAAAAAGTAGATAGCTCCTAAAAACCGCACAAATAACGACTAGCGCGACATTTTGCTCAACCTGCGCCTTAAAATAATGCATTACCATGTATTTTGAATTTAAAAGATAAAAATGACAGAATGTTTGAGACTTTTTAAATTAATTTTGCTTCACCGTTTGTTTATATTGCTTAAATCTTCTCTGGGAATATGGCCGGTTATTGCAAAATAACAAATCTTTTTTGTGACCTATTTATATTTCTTCTCAACATTGGTTACTCAAATAGTATTAATTTTAGGTATTTACAATTGAAACAGAAGTTAAAACTGAGTCTATTCAATATGTTACATAAATTTAGTTAACCAGTGAAGTTTTGTTTTGTTCAACAATCTATTCATAGATATATTATGCATTAGCGCAATCAGAAAGATATATATTTTTTTTAATTTTAACTCGATAACTTAATTTTGCACCAGATGGCAGATATTAACACCGTTACCGTTACAGCCTATTAAAGTCCACTGCTGAACATAGGCCTCCTCTATAGATTGCCTTATAGGGAAGATAGTTGCCACGCTTAGCAAGCGGCTTCGCACAAGATATAACAATTTCCAAAATGTACAGGGGTGTTTAAATATTTAGCAAAATTTGTAATATAATAGGTTTTTTTCACTATGAAATAGCTGTTCTGCAGTACTGGCCATTTCAAATCAAAATAATTTTTGTTTGGCTAAGAATTCTAATTTAAAAATTTCTTTTATTTTAATGACATGGAATTCTTTTTTCAAAATTAGTCATTTGTTTATTGATTTGCGTTATGTTTTCATCGCATTTGAATATTTTTCGTCGTCAAGGAACGTTAAAAATTCGAGTAATTATGAAATATGTGTACCGTCGTGGCAGCAATGCGGCACAAGCCAATCGCAATATCAACGGCTTTTACGGAGGGAATACTTACAAACGAACGCACAACCTGTTATTTATTGATTTACCCGTTTCCGTTCTGGAAATTTCGACCTGAAAACTGAACCCCGTGGTCGTCCGAAAACTGGTCAACAATGACGAATTAAAGGTGATTGCTGGAAGGAAGGTGGAAGCTGATGATACTCCATCTACGGCTGAATTAGCAGCAGCTTTCGAAGTTAGCATCAAAACAATATTGGTCCATTTGCGTCAAATTGGCAAGGTAAAAAAGCTTGACAAATGGGTGCCCCACGAACTCAATGATCGTTAGCGCGAAGTACGCAGCGAGACGTGCCTTCACTGCTCGACAGGCATACAAACGAAAGAATATTTTAAGCGCATTGTTACCTACGACGAAAAATGAATTCTATTTGACAATCGCAAGCGCTCAGCAAGTTGGTTGGATCCTGGTTTAGCACCTAAACAATGCCCTAAACGAAAACTTATTCCTAGAAAAGTGATGGTCACTGTTTGGTGGTCTAGCGCCCCTGTGATTCATCACAGCTTCTTACCAAACGGGATGAGCATTATTGTAGATGTGTACTGTGAAGAACTGAACACAATTATGGAGATGCTCGCATGTCTCCAACCAGCTTTAGTCAATCGCTCGTCCTCATACCACACAATGGACGGTCTCCAAGTTACAAGAACTGGGGTTGGAAGCTCTCCGTGATCCGCCGTACTCAGCAGACTTTGCGCCTACAGATTTCTACTTTTTGCAGAATTTGGATAACTTTTTCGCCCGAAAAAAACATCAATACCCGGAAGGCAGTATTTGTTGCTCTCCCCGTTCAGCTGATTTCTTCAAGAAGGGTATCAATAAACTGCCATTGTGTTGGCAAACATGCATCAATTGCTTGGGTGATTACTTATCACTTTGATTAATAGAAATACAAAAACAATTTAAAAAAAAGAATTAAATTTGCTAACTCATTTCATTGAAAACGGCAATTTCAGAGGTAAAGACCTAATAAATCCGCAGAGTAAATTAATAATTTCTGTAAAGAAAAAGTGCAGATGAACTTCTGTGTGAAATTTATATTTCAAGTATACATATAAATTGTTAATTTTGTGACACAAAATATTTTTAAATATATAAAGATAACTTTTGTTACATTTTAAATTAAAAGCATGGACGTAGTTTACATTCGTGCTGGGTTCAAGGTCACTATGACTTTACCCTCTAAAAGCTGATAGGTAATATGGGAATTTTTGATTTTTGGAAGATGGCGACAAAGATTTTAAAAAAGGAGTGATTGTGGTGGGGGAGGGGGGGGGGTTATCAAGTCTTAGTGGACCATACTCCTCGAGGCCATGGTCAGAAGTTATGTATTATCTACGCTAATTATATTTAACAATACCTATAAATTCTAATTCACTTTAATTAGGATATTGATCACATTCTGTACAAAATTCCACAAATAAACCACGTGAATTCAAAAACACAGCATTTGATATAGTATATTTTATATTTATATTAAGAATTTATTACACGTGAATCGAGTGTCTGTAGAACTAGGGCGGTCTAGCGACGATTAGTCCAATATGGTATTGCGTGCTACCGATAGTAGTGGTGTTGGGGCTGCGGCCACGGCTGCACGGGGACGGCGGGCGCCTGGTAGCCGTCGGGCCAGCGCGCCGCCTCGCCCACGCCGCCCACGCCACTCACGCCACTCACGCCCATGCCCACGGATGCGCCCATGGCCGACACTCCAGCCACGTTTGGTGTCATGCTTCCTCCTGCATACATATCATTTATTATATTTTACGTTTCATTTTTTTTAATTATACTAAGTCAGTGCGTGTTTTCGATCTATTTAATTCTCTAGACATGCAAGCTTGTTCACTTCACCGCCGAGCACATGATAAATCTACATTTAAAACCTGGTAGCTCAAAGGCTTAGCGTGCTTAAATTTAACAGTATGATAGCAACCTGTATTCGATTTCAATTTTTTTTTAAAATTATTTTATAGAAAAAGGGTGACAAACGAGCACACAATCCACCTGATGGTAAGTGATTGCTGTGGCCCATAGACATCTACATCTATCTTCGTTTGCGAATTAAAATGCAGATGCGTTGTCAGCCATGAGGACTAATATAGAATACCTCTTTTCCAGTAAAACGGGTCTCCATTTGTCTATACTCACCATACGAAACACAGCAGCATTAAGCTGCTATTTTACGCTGGTATTCTGTGAGAGCGTGGTCCTTCCCTGGTCGAGCCGACCCATTCGTGCTACAACTATACTATTAATATAGCTGCAGCATGGCTCTACCACGTACAAATTAGCATTATTTTTTTAAGTACACACAAGATCAGTATATTGCGTGTATCAGGATATGTAAAATACTTACATCGTTAACGGGGAGCATCGTCGAATATCGATATTTGGTTCTGCGATCACCAATATATTTTTTAAGTGTGGTGATGGTGGCAAATCTTTTTACGATTAAAGACGTCAGGTGCTGCACGCATCCTCGATTAAGATTCAAAATGTAGATGCATTGTCACCCCTGTATACTAAGACAGAATGCCTCGTTTACAGTAACAAAGGTTTTTAGTTTTCTGCACTCACCATACAAAACAACAACATTAAGCTACTATTTCATGCTAGTATCCTGTGTAATTATGACCCTGCCTCGGTCGAACTGACCCATTTATGCTGTAGAAATGTTTACAATTTGATACAAATAGCTTTCTTTTCCACACTTCGAACGCGTTGTAATGGTAATATTGTATTGTAGTGACCTGGCGGCACGTAGGGCGCGGGCGGGGCGGGCGGGGCGTGTGGCGCGTGGGCGGCGGGCGGCGCGTGGGCGGGCGGCGTGGCGTAGGGCGGCACGTAGTAGGGCGGCGGCACGCTCATGTTGTGCGTCAGCACCGGCACCGACGTCACCGCCGGCACCGCGCTCCCGCCCACACCTGGCGCGCTCTGCTGGAACCATTATACATGTTGCAATGCTATCCACAATTTTTACTTATTATCTAGATCTACCTATAAATAATAATATATTACCTTTCGGTATCCTAATTATATATCATAGAAACAGTAAAGAGTGAAAAGTCGACATTGTTGTTGTTATTTAAGCACCCATATGCTATGCAGTACCTTTTGGTTTTTTGAGAGGCCATACTTTAATAAAAACTCAAAAATAAATATCAAGGGCCTAAATACTTATTAGAGAAAAATAATTTTTATGGTAAAGTAAGGCGCACGTGACAACCTCACGGAATAGCCTCACGTAGGCGGCCGCGCAGCGTAGGTATTTTTTTATGTCTAAAGTGCGGAGTGAGACAGGCCTGCTGAACAATTAAACACAGAGAACAAAAAACAAGAACATTATTGTTCAATGTGAGGAAGGTTTTTTATTAGGGATGCATCCGATACCGATGCCAATATATCGGCGATATTCGAAGTTTGCCGGTATATCGCTATTGGGGATATTTTTATGACCGATTCAACGATACTTTTCAAATTTTGCGCTTTAAAAATGTAATGTATACGCGCGTGTTGTCTCGTCTATTCCATTGCAAACAAGGCACGATCTAACTATGCTCGGGGAAACTCCGCGCTTTTTTCAGTGTCTTGTTTAGCCACAATGCTTGATCCTCGTTACAAAGTACGAATATTTCAATCACAGTCTACTATTACTTAATGTAGCAATGCGTTCCGAAACTATTTTAGACACGGTCACACTTACATCTAGTACTGTAACTGTAAGTTCTGAGATATCTACGAGTAACGGGCTTTGGAGCATTTGTAAAAATATTATTAGAGTCCGAGGAAGATGAGCCCTTGTCTACTCTGAGCTGTAATTCTCTTAAAGAAGAAGTCGAGAGATACCTAAGGTCTCCTAATATATCGGGAGGCGCAGATCTGTTCATTTTCTGGTGCAATGGCGTCTTATACCCAAACTTAAGAATGCTTTGTTTTTTAAACAAAAATATCATCAATGTTAACTTTAATTACTAAAACTATATCTCAACTTGTCTATAGTTTTAAACGGTTTTATTTAGTTTGTCTTGTTATTTGTTCCTTTTATATTAATTCAATAAAAAAATAACCTGACTTGTTTTTTATTTATTTTACCTACATTTTTGAATTCACTAAGAGTATCGGTATCGCCGATATTTTTATAAGAGCATCGGTATCGGTATCGTATCGGCAAAAAAGCGTATCGAGGCATTCATAGTTAATATGCAACATCGAGAAAAATTAAGATTATAACGTGAACGTCTTAAAAACTCATGATTCACCTAGTTACCGCTTTTAACCAACTTCAAAAAAAGGAAGAGGTACTCAATCCGACTGTATTATTTGTGTGTTACCTCAGAACTTTTTTCTAGGTGAACCGATTTTGATGATTCTTTTTTACTCGAAAGCTGATGTTTATAATTTATATCTAATATATAAAATTTTCGTGTCGCGGTGTTTGTTACCAAACTCCTCTGTTCGCGCCAAACACTAATTTCAAGAATTAACGCGTGAGGGCGCTCGGCGTGGTGCATTCATACCGGTTTGACTTTCGGTCCTGCGTAGAACGCGCAAGCGCAGCAGTCGTCTGTCAGCTGTGCTTGGGACAGCACGCTGTCATTTTGTCGGGAACTCGGAATAATTAGGCGCGGCCAGTAAATATACGGTCTAGGATTTGTGACGCGCATTCCTGCTGGAGAGCTTCCCAGGGACTCATTGTGTCTGACTCAGAATCTGCATAAGTGCATTCGGCAATATTAGCTAGTGCGGCCTTTGATATTCTAGAAATAACTGTTGCTACGCGAAACGGTAGTGACCTTTGATCCGGACACTCCGTGTGCGTTTTGTGCGTTAACCTTATACCCAACGAGAGTTAGTGGCTTCTGTAAGTTAGTTAATCGTACGATAGAGTTAATTGACTGTCATCGTGACGAACGAGGAAAGTGACTGTGGACAACGCCGCGGAAGGTTCCCTCAATTTGGAGTGGTGTCGACGCCCGGGCTGCTGCCGACGGCCAAGGTCTAGGGTCAATCACCATCAGTCACACCCAGATACACATCACATCACCTTATTTCCCTTGCACTACACAACCACATGCGACCTGACCGACTCCGGAGGGACCAGTCGCCTTGGATATAGGTAAGTAAGCTCCGTCTAATATCCTCCCGGTCGACTGGCCGTAGTATAGAACGCTCTCCCATATAGTTTAGTGTAATTAGAGATTTTCCACTTTGGCCTGGAGGAGGCCCGATCTACGTCTGCTCGTCGAAACTCAGCTGAATGGGCCCCTGAGGATTTTACCTTTAAGGGAGCAGCCGTAGGCCGTAACAAACTGGTAGCAGAGCGCGGTTCCGGGTTCGATTCCCCGGTCGATCCCGACCATAGAGTTTGATAAAAATTAAACAATTCTGGTGGCATGGAGCGTTGGTTTGATTGGTTTACTTTGTATATACAATCACGCCCGTCCGTAATACGTAAAAATATTTTTTTTGTACGTAATAATAAAATTATTTTCCTTTGTTGCTTTGTTGCTTGCCTTTTTTTGGTTAGTGGGTAGATTTGAAAAGCCGCGCCCTAGGTTGCGCAAGCGGGAGTTTTTCTAGAGATATACGTCATGTAGGTAGATGGTTATTTTTACGTAATCGGTTAATTATCGTTGTCGGATAGTTGTAGTGGATTACTTATCGAAGGGTCGATTTCCGAGCTAGGCATTTTTTGTTGATCGACCGTGATGTGTATCTTCGTTTGTATTGTAATTTGTATTTGAACTGAAGAGTAGTAATTTGTATTTGCGCCATTTGAATTTAACTTGATTTGATCGCACTAGTATTTGTTATTTGTTAATTTGATTTGTGTCTTTTCTTTTGTGCTAACTTGTATTTGGTTGATACGTAGTAATTCGTATTTGTGTAATTTCTATTCAACGCGATTTGATAGGAACTGCATATATTAACTGTAAATTTTTTGTTGTATTTTTTATTTGTTATCTTTGTAATTTGTGCTCGAACCGCGTCGTAATTTGTATTTAGTAGTGATGTCATCGCCCAAGCTACTAATCCGTTGCCTGCGGACGGAGTTACGCTGGGCCACAAGCGCCCATGCTTTGATAGGTCGACCGGATAGGGTCCATAACTTGATGAAGCGGTTCGAGCAGGTGGATGCTCGAAGGGCCGCAGTGGAGGAGGCTTACGCTGAGCTCGAGGATTCGGATGTGGAGAAGGGAGTCCTGGACTCCTGCTTCGCGGACTATAAGCAGTTCTTTTCGCTCACGGACGAGTTGATCGAGGCTGAAGGCAGGTATGCCGAGGAGGCGCGTGAGGCTCGGATGAGTGGCCTGCCCGAGTCCTCTCGGGAGCAGCTTCAGCCGGAGCTGTTGGGACGACTCCCAACTCTGGACCTGCCAAAGTTCTCCGGGTTCCTTTCAGAATGGCTGACCTTCGTTGGTCTTTTCGACAGCCTAGTGGACGCCCGGAGTGATTTGACCCCGAGCCAAAAGATGGCGTACCTCCTGGCCTCACTGGAGGGGGAGGCCCTGGGCGTCGTCACCTCCTAGCCAGAAGACACGCCAACGTCCGGCGAATTGCGGACGAACATGTTAAGCAGCTTCTAAGCCTCCTGCTGCTTAGTGACCGGGCCAGACTACGTCCGGACCTGTTGGATCCAGTCCTGGTGGCCTGTAATACGTTGAGGCGGCTGGATTTACCAGTGGGCGAATGGGCTTTTTTGTTGCTCCGCATCGTGCTGTCCCGTCTACCTCTCGACCTTCGGATCCATTTTGAGGAGAGGTACGGCGGGGACGAGGCCTCCTATATTCCGCCCTTCTATGACCTGCTGCGGTTTTTGGAGGAGCAGTGCCGGCAGATCGTAAACGCGACGGGCACCGTTGACGACTTACGAGCAGTGCCCAGTGAGAGGCTGAATCTGCCAGGCAAGTCGTCGTCAAACCCCCCCCCCCCCCTGCTCCTATTGTCGAGCATCTGATCACCGGGTAAGGGGGCGTTCAAGTATTACGTAACGCAATTTGGGGGGAGGGGGGGTCGTGTAAAACGTTACGATGCGTTACAGGGGCGGGAGGGGGGTTCGACCAACGCGTTACGTAACATTTTTTTTTATTTTAAATAAAAAACTAGGGAATTAAAATCTCCCAAGTTAGCAACCCTTTTCGTTTATGTTTTATGGAGAATCCCTCGATTGTATGGTACGTCATTTTTATTTTGTCCTCCCAAGTTGGTAATCTTTTTTGTCTGTTTTACGGGGAATCCCTCGACTGTATTGTACGTCATTTTTATTTTGTTTTCGTTATCAGTATTTATCTTACGAAGAAGCACATTTCTGTAGTCAGAGTTGTTACAAGTGAGTTCATACTGTAATATCCTCAAAAGAGGAAGATTTGCATCATTAGCTTTTCTTTGCACATAAAAGCTCTCATGCTGACTTGCCAGCATAACTGTGCCAAAAGAATGCCAACGAAATTTGGATAACGGCTAAAGAAAAACTAAAAAATAAAGAAAAGTTTATAGAACATATAAATGATGTTATACGAGAGTTCAAGGTGAAGGCCACGAAGAAGATAGCAACAATGCTTAGTTATTTTACACAAGTATGTTTACTGTTAAAATATAATAATATTACGTATTCTAGGTAGGTATATGATATATAAACCAAACCTAGATATTTCGTAAAAGAATTGATCATAAGTATTATATATTTTTAGCTACCTATCCAAACATCAAGCATGCCAACAACACTATTGTCAGCAAGGCCTAATGTCCCAACGATTTCGCGTACTCTTCAACAAAAACGGGTGCGTGTACATACGCGAGCGGGCCGACAAGTCAAGAACTTTGCCATTCAACACTTCACTAAATACAACTTTGTCGTCCTGTTCATAGCGACTAATGCTCCTGGGCGGAGCGTATACAACCGAGTAGAGCGGCGCATGGTTCAGGCTCAGCAAACG